AAAAAAAAAAAAAAAGAAAGAGGATTTAGGGAGAGTTGATGGAGACACTGTAATTTTAAGTAGGATGGCTAGAGTAAGGCTTCCTCACGTGACATTTGCAGGATGGAATCAAAGCCTGTGTGTGAGGCAAGAGTTCCAGGGAGAGGACAGGGGAGCTCCAAAGGCCCTGAAACAGCACAGAGGGTGCTTAGTATGGCTGAGTTGATAACAGGTCAGAGGTGATCTGTCCTAAGGGGCATAATTCTTTTTGGGTCGCCCACCTCTACTATGAAATGGGAAGCCATTATGGCAAAGAAAGGACATGATCCAGCTTTAGTTCCTATCAGTATACCACTGACTGTAGAAATGCCTGCAGCAATCCAGCAGAAAGGCCTGGGATGGCTTGGACCAGGGTGGGAGCAGTAGATGTAGAAAAAAGTGGATACAATTTGCAGAAGTAAGTCAATGAGATTTGTTGGTGTATTGGTTTGGGGTGGGGAAGGAAAAGGTTGTTAAATTAAGAGCATGGGATAATGAACTGTAAAGATATGGTTATTATTTACTGAAATGGCAAGAACAGAGGTGTAACACTCGGGCTTGGGACATAAAATTGAGTTTGAAATACCTAGCAGACATGGCAAATAAGCTGTCAAGTAATTATCTGGTATCAGCCAAGAATCTGGAAGCAAGGTCTGACCTGGAATTCCGAACCCTTTAGTATATGGTATTAAATGCCATGAGACTGGGTGAAAACTCAACAATTGTAGCTGCGAAGACGATCCAAGGGTCAGTATTTAGACGTTGGGGATTTAGAGGAACCAGCAAAGTAGAGGTGCTGGCTCAGAAGGAGAAAGATGAACTACTAGCATAAGAGGCCCTGGAAACCAAGTGGAAAAACTATTTTGAAAAAGCAAGGCCCAGCGTGGTGGCACATGCCTGGAAACCCAGCACGGGGGAGGCCCAGGCAGGAGATTTCCACGGGTTGAGGCCAGTCGGGCTACAGAGTGAGCTAAAGGCCAGCCCAAACTCCTGAGACTCCATAGTGAAACCCTGCACAGTGAAGACAGGGTTTCGGTACGAAAGAGGAGCGTGCTTGGAGGGGGGAGGGGAGGAAGAAAAGGAGAGGGGGAGGGAGGGAGAGGGAAGGAGAGAGAGAGGAGGGGAGAAGGGGGGGAGAAGAGGGGGGGTGGGGGCGAGACAGAGTGCGAGCGAGAGCGCAGGGTGCTCAATGTCACCAAAACGCAAGGTAAGACACACTTAGGAAATACGATTTTTCGCCAAACTTAAGGAACCTCTAGGTCTTGTTTTTAAATGAAGGGCAGATCGATCCGCCTTCTCCTTTAGATTATTCCGAGGGCAGCACTAAACAGAGGTGAGAGGGGCGAGAAGCCGAAGCACCGCGGACGGGTGTTCTCCCTACCGTGCGCCGCAGAGTAGGCCCAGCTGTAAGAGAAGGAGACGCGGATGAGCCAGGGGACCCTCGCCGCCCGCCGCCCGTTCTTGCCCGCCACCACTCACAGGAGATAGCGGGCTTGGCCCGGGCAGCTGTCCCGTAAACTTCGCGCCGCGGCCTCCAAGTAGTGC